ATATCCTATACTCCCCAATCATTTGACTAAGAATTTGTTTTCAAAGACTCCAAACACAGATTCAAGATCAGCCTACCCTAACCTGAATCTGTTGTGCAATTCATGGAAAGATGGTCTCCTGCCACCGCCAGCTACAACATCCTCTCCCCTCAAGCACCCCACTTATCCTAGCAGGAGCAGTTGCACATTTTATTGGAAGTTAAATACCTGAAAAAAATTAAAATTAATTATAGGCCAAATGAGTTTCTTGATCTGGCTGAGACCGCAGGGCTGCAATGGTGTGAGTGCTGGCACGCAAAAAGTAGCAAAAATCTGCAGTCAGGTATCGGAGAAAAGAACTACTATTTTTGACACAGTGAGAGCTTCAACCATTTTCACGATTGTGAAACCAACATAAGTCATTAGCTCCATTAGCACCATAAATTAGACAAATCTAGAGCTAAGGCTCAATAAGTCATTTCACTCATTCCTGTTCCCAAGGCACTATCCACTTCTCTTGTGCTGGCATAAACATTTCTCAGCTGCATGAGGTGAGTGACTGAAGCAAAGAATTGATGTGATTTAAAACTAACCATTATTTTCATGGTTCAGGTTTGGCTCAGATAAGTATCCAATCTGCTAGTGCAGACATAAGGGAGAAGGGAGAATGCAGCACTGAGCCTAGAATGAGCAGCTGGGGAAAGGACTGGCACTGCCTTCTTAACACTGATGAAATTGTGGCCTGAGAGAAGTGGGAAAACAGAAAGGGGGTTTTCCTTCAAGTTCCCTGGGTTTCCTACAGCACTGTCTTAATCTCTGCCCTGTATAATATTTACAAATGGTTCTTCAGGCACAGGAAAAAGGAATTTAAAGAAAAATAAAGCTTAAAAAAAAATCACATCTTGATGGTGATTTTGAAACTTGCAGCTAAAAATACTATATTTTTATCAAAAGATTGTTAAAATTTGAGAGTAATCTTGTTGATTTTGTTGTATGGTATTAAGCCAGTTTTGATCATTTTTATGCAAACATGCTATAGTTTCTAGACATTAAATTCTTTCCAGTTTATCTAAAATTTCAATTATGTCTTCAAAAACTATCCAAAAACTATGTAAAATGTTTAGAGGGGGGAGTATGTTATCTACACTGAAAGACAGGATCATTCCAAATACAAAGTACATTATGCTCCCATAAACGGTGAATAATTCAATCTTTCGCCTTAATAACTCATTATGACTCTGTTATTTTGAATATAACAAATGTCAAGGCCTGGAAGCTTTAGTACTAAGCAAGCACAAACAAACAGGAGTAGCTGAATACAGAATAACACAACACAATGTAAAGTCACAGGGGTAACCTATCAAAAGAGTCTTCAGAAAACAACACACAGTGCACATGAAAGTAAACATCCCTATATCCAAGTCAGATTCACACCAGGCAAATAATGCTTATTTTGGTATTAATTTTATAAATAAAATACCATAAAATGGTAAACTAACCTAGAACAGAAAAGAACAAGTTACAACATCACCTAGACATCAGCAAATACGGAAAGTAAAACCACTGGCAGAAGTTCATAGCAAGAATAAAATTTATTGTCCCCTGAGCTGCTTATTGCTGCTCCCTTGCCAGAGGTGCCACTTCCCAGCAGAGCAGGGAACGCAGAGACGGCAGCTGCTCGGGTGCAGGGTCTGGCAGCTCCTCTCCACCTGCCGATGAAACAGTTTTCAGCCAAGTCATGAGAACTGACCCCAAAACGAACGAGATGCGTCTCGTGTTTCTGCTCGAGGGGAGCAGCATCCAATCCATGCAGGATACACCTCTCCCATCACTCCAGTGACCCCTCCAGAATTCACTAAGTACTCAGGCTTAAGTCCTAAAACTTGGATCCTAAATGCTTAGGCATCTCGCTGTCCTCAAGCACCTAAATCCACTTGATTCCAACAGGACATACATAAACATCGCTGACAATCTGGTCTAAGGGAGTCCAATTCCTCAAAGAGAGTCAAGGTTAATTGAGATTAGAACAAACAATAGCCCAATTTGCTACAACGTTCTTATTAAATCAGAACTTGCTCAGTCTAATTGTAGAACTAATTAAAACTGATTACCCTGAGCAACAGTGATCTAAGGCTGCAGTCCACTCATGCCTATGTCATATTAAAGTGACTCTAGCCACCAAGAGAGCTATTGAGCCCCTTCCTCTTGCCTGCACAACTGTTTACATATCCACAGAGCGAGCCAAATCAAGGAGCTGATTTAGCTGAAAACTAACCTGACTATAAATTCTTAGTTTTTAGCTAGATCAATTCATCAGTCCAGCTCATTACATAGTTTGCTCAATAGCAGTACTGCCAGAAAAAAAGCAGCAGAGCCTGAAAGCAAAGTCATCCTTCAAAAACAAAACAAACGATGCCCCCAAACTCAAACATATATAGGTACTTGATAGGATTAGCAAAGTTACAAGTTTAAAAAGTAAAACCGAAATATAACAGGTAATGAAAAAAATAAAATATGTCCCTCTGAAATAAGGTCCCACTCAGAATTAATGTTAAGTCCTTACTATATATTCAGCATACATGTATAATGATAATTCAATGATGACAAATTTATAAAAGTTATAACAGGACATTAAAAAAGAATGAGCTGAGGAAATACCTATCAGAAATTACTACCTTCTCATCTGTGCAGTATAAGTATTAGAAAAGGGTAGGAAAAAATAAAAATAAAGCAGCAATTCAGGCACCAGAAACTTCAAACACTAAAAGGTTATACTAATTACTCAAAGTATGGTACCAGAATGAAATCAAGAATGCTACTGCACATACAACAAACTACTGTCATTAAGTTTAAGGGTGTATAGGATGGGTTGGGGCTTCTTGGCAGGAAAGGGACAACATACAAGAGTGGCTAGGGGGTTGTTCTTGAGATGTTCTCTTCTGTAGAGAATGAAGGCCATTACAACATCAGGACTCTCTTTGGAGTTTCACATAAACCAATTACTAATTATCAGTTTTGCTGTATTCACAAAATATTCATCCATGTTACCTAGCTCCACTGTGCTGTAGAAGCAACACTATTTTGAAGATATCCCCCTCAGTAAAACAACAATCTCTATCTGGCAGATTAGGGCTACATAAATAAGCGACTATTAAGATGATAAGGTGACACAACAGGAAGTTTTTTAAACTCTTTGTACAGAGTATATAAGGTGAGAGATTTGGTTTCTATTCTTGCTCTTGGTTTGGGGAGAGAGATATCCTTAACATCTTCTCCAAATCGAACATGAACACAGACACCACTGACAATTCATTTCAATCCTGCTAAAGCAAATTTAATAGTGGACTACTCGGGAAAGGCAGCATCCTATGGTATAACATAAGGACAATCTCACGTAAGGGATGAACTGAAAGAAGACAAATAATGCGTGTATAGGAGAAAATGAGGCATGAAAAGACCAGGCTGAGAGTACCAAATAGGGGAAAGAAAAAAAAAAAGCAGGGTTATTGCATTATAACTGATAAAAATATCAGGGAAATGTGCATTTATGCATTATATAAAGGATACTACCTGTGTCACAGACAGCTTTTCAAGCTTTTCAGCTCTGTTTGCTTATACTTCATTCAGCATAGGAAAAGCAACGCACTATTGAACAGCAAAAGCTTCCACTGGATTAATGTATAAATATACCTGGATAATCACAGCAAGCGATTGCCTTGAGAAAAGCTTTCCAAACAGGGATGTAACTACCTTTCAGCAATAGGGATTATAAAGAGGCAAAATAAAGTACTTCATCACAAGGAAAAGAATATTATCCCCCTAGAACAGTTGTTCGGGTAGAGGGAGAGGAGATGAAGATGTCATGAAGAGTTCAAGGCCAAGTGGAAAAGCAATCAGTAAGATGAAAGATGGGGAGTCAAACCTTTTACCCTTTAACCAAGCAATGATCCAGTAACGACATATTGCTGGAAACATGATCTTTAATTAGAAAATGAGCAAACAGATCTGCTGTCATATAGAAAAAAAAAACATAATGAAGATGACCATGCCAATTACTGAGAGACAGAAAACCTAAAATGATGTGCAGCCACACTGATTTCTCTAGCTTTCCCTAGAGCCAAAGGATTGCTTTGATTAAAAGGACTATCTGCAGTAGCAGAAGTTTTAAAATCCATTACTTAATAAAGAAAAAAATGGTATAAATACTCCACAAAAAAATCTGTATCAAATACTGTATTTTTAAAATTGAGGACAGGCTTGTGGTACAACATCACTGAAAGTAGCAGAATAAGCAAATTGAAAGGGAGCTGCAGCTGGTTCTCCAATTACTAGGTATTGTTCAAAAATGCATATTCAAATCAAAATCCCTCAGAACATTTGTACCCTCAGATTTGACTTTTGCAGCAGAGTTGAAAGACAGCTGTGTTAGAAACCAACCAAACTTAAGCTATTCAAATAACTACAAATAGGCACTTTAAAGAGAAGAAAGACAAACCAGGACATAGATTAAAAAAATAAAATAGTATCTTCTACAATATTTCCTTAAGACCAGGAAACTAGTCTTTATATCTTCTTTTCAGATAGCCTTAATGTTTGCAATATGCTCAGACAGCTCTGTTATCAAGCTCTTGTAACTGCCCATGCCCTAAGGTGAATATGAAGTCACTGAATGACTGCTCTTAATGTCAACACCAAGGGAATCAACTGCAGGGAAAATGCTGAAGAACAGCTCATCACTGGCGAGGGCCATATTAGAAACTCAGCAAAGGAAGGTTTGTACATCCACACAGGCATCCTATTCCATCCAAGTTTAACAAAATGATAGTGTCTATTTTTATCTTGCCTATATATTTAACGTAGCAGAAAGTATAAAACAATTACTAGAAAACAAATGCAGGAAAGATAGAAATGATTTTTAAAAAGTGAAGATAGAAAATAAGAGGACTAAAGAGTAATAGCACAAAAATCTGTGTGTCAGCATGACGGTCAGCAGTGTTTCACAATAACACTTAAGGAAATACCTGAGTAGATAAACAGCCCTCTCAATATCATTGAGCTCTTCATCAACTGTCAGTCTTTCTATTTCTTCTGGTGTCTGTCAAGTGTGAAAGAGAGGTTAGGAATTGACAGTGCTATACTATTTCCTCCTTCTTAAACGAAGGAAGTCTTCTTAAAACGACCCTTTCCTCCCCACGTTCAAGGATAAGTTATATGAGTAATTTGAATTTCATCCTTGAAATCTCTAGCCAAGCATTTCAAATTCAGTCAATTAAATCTTTCACCCAGACGACACGGGACATAATAGAACCAGTTTCATGTCAGATGCTCTCATGATTAATCATTTTAAACACAGCAGAAACAAGTCACATATAAATGAAAGGCCCGAGTCTGTATTTTTCAGCCTAACACTGTCACACCGAAAATCCTGAATTTACGCCAAAGCTGCGTATCCCGGGAAAGCTGCCACCGGCCGTTAACGTCCCCGTGCTGTGAAGGAGGCTGCCGGGTGAGCAGGCAGCGCAGGGGGACGGCGGCACGGCTCGGAACGGCCCCGAACGCCCCGCGCCGTCCCGCACCACGCACCTTGAGGCTCCTGCGCACCGGCCTCTCGATAATGGTCAGTTCCTGCAGGTCTTCTATGTAGCCGAACAAATTGCCCGGAGTGAAATCCATCCTGGCGAGGAAGACGAGGGGATGCATGTAGGGAGCGGAGCGCGGAGCGCCGCGCCTCACATGGCCGCGGCGGCCGCCCCGCGCTCACTGCGGCACCGGCCGCCCCGCCGACAAACTTTCCCCGGCCGCTCCGCTCCGGAGCCAACTTTCCGCGAGCGGGGAGGGATGGAGGGGCACAGGCCGCCGCGGGAGGGCAGCTCGTCCCGCGCTCCTCACAGCGGAGGCTCCGCGGGCGCCGTGTCCGCCGCGGGAGGGAGGCAGGGAGGGAGGGAAGGCGGAGGGAGGCCGGGCGGCCGCCGCGGTGCGGAGCGCGCCGGGAGCGAGCGCAGCGGCGGCGGGACAGCCCCCGCCCGCCCGCGGAGCCGCCTCGCAGCC